AGAAACAACAAGGATACCTCCTTCAAGTTTGATGTTGGGGCATATTGTATTGTGCTTCTCTTTGAGGGTATTTGCAATTTTGCTTCACTTTTTCTTTGCTTTTTTTATTCTATTTTTTCTTTTCTTTCTTTTGCACTCCAAATTTGATGTAGGAATCTTTTTCTTTTCTTTTTGTTTTTTCTTCTTTCTTGTTGCTTTTTGTTTTAGAACTTTGAATGTCAATCCACCAAAGCTCTGATTACCACTTGATGTAAGGCTAACCAGGCTTCTTCAATAATGGAGAAGATGGCCACCTTGTTATTTCCCGATCTAGGAGAGACACCAAATGCTACACCTTGAATTGAAAAGAAATCTGCACAAAGAAGAATGATTGGTTAAGTAAATGAGTAATTAAGAAAGGAAATGGAAAGAATTGAAATGGATAGAATAGTTATCAAAGAAGGGCTGCGGAAGTGTTGTAGAATGATCCTTCAAGTGATGATGGATTCGGCCTCCAATGGTGGTGATGGACGAATGCCTTGTTGAGGATGAAGGATAATTCAAAGATGAAGAAATGGAAATTTATAAGTTGGTGATAATATAGGCGTGATATGGTGATGGAATATGGTGATGATATAGGCGTGATAATGGTGATGGACTATGGTGATAATATAGGCGTGATAATGGTAATGGACAGATTGTATCTTATAAAACTAAGAAGGAACCAATGCTATAAAGGAGCAAAGACCCGTTTCTTATAAGTTTTATAAGGTATGGTATGAAAGGACTTTGACCCACTAGTTATTTAAACTAGGAACCAGAAGTATCAAGGTGAAGGAATGACGCCACAAGCTTTAGAAAGGCTTGCTTAATCGATATAGTTCTAAAAAGAACTTGAAGAGAGAATAATCTCACAAAAGATTTTTAATTGATCAAAGGGTTGTGTTACAAATGAAATGCAATAGCTTATTTATAGTTTTCAAAGGGTTTAGGCTGAATAGATACTTGATGGTTCGGCCAAGGTTGAAACCCCTTTGAAAATACATGATTTTTTTTATGAAAATACATGATTTAAATGAATATACATGCTCTTGGCCGAATGATTATGTGTTGGTTCGGCCCTAAGGTTGATTTGAATGCATTTGGAAGTTATTCGGGCGCTAAAATGAATAGGAAAGAGTCTTTGGCCGAATAGGAAGCATCCCTTGGTGTTTTGGTGCCAATTTAATGTCACATGGAATGCACATGTTTGAATGATGCACATGGTAGCCTACTTGAACGCACATGGGTCTTCTTGCAAGGCTTTGGTGATATTACAACCATAGGATGGTGTCTTGAAGTCCATGGAATGAATATGGTAGCAACTAGGCGTGACTTGGCTTCCAACATGCATCTAGGTGTCATGGCCTTCAATGGGCAGCAACTTGTTATGAAAGGTCACATTATGTGGAAGGTAACCTTTCATCATTTGAGATACTTTACAAGTGTTTGAGCTGAAGATGAGCTGGCCATAGATGAATTACATGAAGATGAGTCATAGGTCAGCTCCTTGTGAAAAGGCACCTTTTGGAATGACAACTATTCGCGAAAAGGTACGAATCCAAAAAAATTGACATAGACCATATTTGAAGTGTTCTGTGTGGTGAAGATGACGGTGTAACTCTCCAGCTGAAATGAGGTCTCTAGCTAGCTCAAAAGTCCAGCTCAAGTGAGCTATGAGCTCGGGGGTCAGCTGGCAACTTTGTCCCAAAATGTTCTTGAGCTGTCCCGGAGTTGTCCTAGTTATGTTTCCATAGCTCTTGGACTCCAATTCTAGCTTTAAGTCAGCTCCCATCATATGGCCGAACATGCACCTACAAAAGAAAGCATAATATAAGCTAAGTATATGAATTATTATAAAGTAATAAGAATGTGCATATTATAAAGATGTGAACTATAGGTTATAATAATAACTTATGCATCATATGATAATGAATGAATATTATTATTATAACTATAGATTATATGCATGAATATCAATCAATGATGCAAACCATAGGACATAATGAATGAATGCACATGTTATGATAATTCAAGCATAGTCTAATATGAAAATGTATGCTCATAATAATATATAGTGCTTAAATGAGTAAATATAATATAAAGTAAGGTAGAACTCCCTTATATTGAGCTTGATGGATTTTCAATGATGTGAGTATGTCATGCAGAAAGTTGGTGCTAGACAGGATCACATCAGGAAAACACTATAGCAAGTAACTATTTTTCAGTTGTGGTGTAATTTAATTGGGCATCATTTAGCGTCATGCTAGCATAATGTATAGAATGGAGCACTTTGTCCTTTTTCCCTAGCACTGCACCAATAGCATAGTCATTAGCATCACACATTAGCTCAAAGGGTAAATTCTAATTTAGTCTTCAATCAAATCGGAGAATATTGACATCATACAGCATTGAAATGTTATTGGAACATTGCACAAACCAAACGATATTCTTCAAAAAGCAAAATTACTATATGGGAAAGTGAGAGTAATTTTCTCCTGATCCTCAGGTTCTATGGCAATTTGGTTGAATCCATTATATCTAGCCAAACAATATTAGAAAGCTTTATTAGCGAGACGATCCATCATTTGATCGATAAATGATAACAGAAAGCGATCATTCCTCGTTGCCTTGTTGATCTTCCTATAGTCTATGCAGATTCTCCAACCAATAGTGGATCTTGTTGGTACTAACTCATTCTTTTCATTTGTCACCATAGTAATGTCTCCTTTCTTTGGAACACAGTGTACATGGTCGACCTAATTGATGTCTGAAATAGGGTATATGATGCCAACGTCTAATCATTTTGTGATCATTTTCCTGACTAATTTTTTCATGATTTGATTTAATCTTCATTGATGCTCAATCGAACTATTATTGGGGTCCTCTAGTAAAATTTTGTGCATACAAAATGTTGGACTGATGCATTTAATAATGATAATGCTCCAAGCTATGGCCCTCTCATGTTGCTTCATAACAACAATCAGTTTATCTTCTTTTGATGTTGTAAGTTCTGCTGCCACAATGACTAACATATTATTATTTTTTCCAAGGAATGAATACTTCAAGTGCCCTGGTAAAGTTTTGAAATTGAGCATTGGTGGCTCATCAATGGATGATTTAGGAGCTTGAATGAGTATGCCAATCATGTCCAATGACTCAAAATATTGCATGAAGTTGCCACAATATTCTTAATCCTCTTTAATTGCTACAAAATTATTGGTAACAATATTCATGTTGCAACATTCATCCCAATGCTCCTACGCAAAAATATTAATAACATCGAGTGAGTAGCATTTAGCACTATCACTTATATAAGAAACATTATTCAAAACATTGAAGGTGATATGTTCATTATTTAATCGCATCGTAAGTTCCCCTCTTTCCACATCAATTAGTGTACGGCCAGTGGCAAGGAATGGACAATCGAATATGATGGGAACATCTTTATCGGCTTCACAATCCAATATGATAAAATCGGGGTGGGGAATATGAGCTTGTCCACTTGGACCAACATGTTCCTTACAATGCCACTAGGATGCACGGTGTATCTATCAATAATTTGCAACATGATAGTGGTCAGTCTTGCTTTCCAGCTTCTAAATTTTTTGAAAATTGACAGTGTCATTAAATTTATACTAGCACCCAAGTCACATAAAGCTTCTCCCATAAATTTATCAACAATGATGTAAAGAATACTGAAACTCCCTAGATAAGCTTTTATGGTAATTGACTTGTAGCCATAGCACTGCATCATTTAGTAATACTAACATCTCAAATTCTCAGTTCCCTTTTTGGATAGGACTTCTTTCAAGAATTTAATGTAGTTTGGGTTTTGCTCTAGTGCCTCAATCAACGAAATGTTAAATGTTAATTGTTAGTTGGTAAAGGACATTAATAAATGCTCTATATTGTTGATCCTCCTTTACCTTTTTGAAATGTTGAGAAAATAGTGGAGGCATCATGGGTTGTTATGGTATTGAAGTTGGAGAAATGCCAGGCATTGATGTCAGTAATGGTTCAGGACTATTGCACTGTCCTTCTTATTTAGTTGTGGCATTCATGGTGGATATCTCAATATCAACTTTTTTATTATTTCCCTTATTATTCTTGGTAGCCCCTTCTTCATTCTTCTTGGTCTCCTTAACAGGCTTCCCAATATAGATGCAACTTTGAGTAGTAATGGCGTTGCAATGTTTTTTCCTTGTTTGGGATTTTCGATGTCGTTGGACAGCGTCCCTTGTAGTTTATTATTGAGAGCATTTGCCATTTAGCCCACTTTATTTTCTAAAGCCCTTAATAATGTTGATTGGCTAGCCATGTATTCTCTCATCAAGGCTTCGAGTGAGGATAGATTGAAAGGTTGTGTTGAAGATTGGCCTTGATAACTTTGGCTTTATTGCGGTTATGTAGCTTAATGTTATAATTGAGACTGCAACATTGCTTGTTGTTGATTATACTATTGTTGTTGGTAGTGTTGTTGGTAGTGATGTTGTTGAAGATTGGCAATATTTTGGATTCTCCAAGACAGATAAGGATGATTCCGAAAGTTAGCATTGTAGGTATTGCCATAAGCAATTTCATTTCTATTATAATTTTTTACAAAGAAAAATGACTTAGGGTTTTGAGGACAATATTTAAAATTGTGATTATCTCCACAGTAAACACAAGAAAGACTAGTGGTAGCTTTTACCTCATAAAACCCCCTAGTTTTTGCAACTTTTTCATCATGTTCATCAATGCTGAAATTTGAGATGCCATAAAGTTGAATGCATCAATATCCACCACTATAGGATTACGTCTACCAAACATGTTTCTCATATTTAGATACTGGTAATCATTGTTTGATATCCTCTCCAGAATATCATATGTGTCATTATATGTTTTGTCTAAAAAAGTTTTTTTTTGTTGAAACATCTACTACCATACAAGTTTGTATATTCAGCCTATTGTAAAATATCTCAATTTGAGTCAAATAAGGAAATCCATACATTGGACATTTTCGCAACAAATCCTTAACTCTTTCTCATGCCTCGTATAAGCTTTCATCTTCCATCTACTTGAATGAAGTAAGGTCATTTCAGATTTTTGCATTCATGTTGTAAGGGTTGAGTAAAAGAAAAAACTTTTACGCTAGCTCATTCCAAGATGCTATGGTACCCAGAGGCAGCGATGTGAACCATATTCTAGCTTTATCTCTTAATGAATAAGGGAAAAGTTTCAAATTTAAAGATTCATTGGGAACCCATTGTTGCAAAAATAAATCACAAACTTCCATAAATGATCAGAGATACACTCTCGGATGTTCAACAATTAACCTACCATATTGCCGTATTGACTACAACATCTAGAACATGTCTGGCTTCAACTCAAAGTTTGTTGCATGTATTGATGGTCTTACTATGCTCGGATGTAGATAATCAAGGGTTGGCACTACATGCTCTCTAATAGGTCGGTTACGATCATCCATATTATACAATTGTGTTGCCTTGCTTCATTGCCAACTAGAAGTTCAACATCATCTCCATGTTGTAGTGGAGGTAGGGCATTGTATTCTTGTCTAGCCGTAAATGCTTGATTTCTAGCAGCTTATCTTTTTCATCTTCGAAAAGTTCTTTGAATCTCTAGGTCAAATGATTCTAATTCGTCGCCACTATATGGCATAAACTAATGAAGCTAAAAATTAAGTACCTACAAAAATAAATAACCAAATAAGAACACTATAAAAGAAACTTTAAAGTAAAATTGATGCTCCTTGAAAACGACACCAAAAACTTGATGCTACGAAATTGATACAGCAATATATGCAAGTGCACATATCGTAAATCAAGTAATAAAGTGGTAGAAAATTAATGTTATGGATGTCGAACCCACAGAGAATAAATTGATTACAATAGAGTTTAAGTGTAGCAAAGAAGAGTTAAAGTGATGATTGATAAACAAAAGTAAAAGGTAGGAATATCAATGTTAAATAGCAAGGGAATGCTACAACAATTAAGGGAGCATTAAAGATCAATGGTCCTAAGTTGATTTTATAATTGGGCTGCTATCATAATGGTAATACAAAAGTTCTATATTTATGAGTTATGCAAGAATTAATCCACAACTTACTAAACTCTTATTTCTCATTAAAAAGCTAATAAGTTCATAATTAAGCATAATCATAGGCACCCTATATCTCTAAAGGAAAATCTACTCTTATAACCATCTATGTTGTGACGAAATTAGCATGCAAACTTAATTAATTTTATTTCTAAAATCAACCAACGACCAAATGCATAAAATACTATTATATCTAATCAACATTACATAAAAACTATAATATCAAAAACATAGTTCAAATAGTAAAAACCATAAGTCAAACAATTGATCGAGCACTTTATGCTCGATACCCAAAATAAAAGTAATAATCATTCAACATCCACAAATATCGTTTTCCTTCTCTCTAATTTAAGATAACACTCTAAATGTTGAATCCCAATCGGTCACGCTACTCTTTTACTGCTGTTGTATTCCCTGGCGGGTAGACTAGCCTGCTATTGAGGCTTAAGTATGTGGAGAAAGATGTAGGAGATGAAAGTTTTGAATGAATCCATGATGAGAAGATCACTCCTATTTATAGGTTGAATGGGTGATCCTTCAATTAATAATCTTTCACCACACTTCAGGTTATTCTAGAGCCTTGACAGCTACCCTCTTCCAACTGAACATTCTATGAGGTTCTCCACTATTCACCTAGTGAGTCATCAAATGCTACAAAATTGCTCAGTAGTCTAAAGCACTATCACAACGTAGCATCACCTGCAACATCAAATAATGTCTCCCGATATTAGTGCACCAAATCTGAGCATAAAACATAAAAATTAAGCCAACAATTACCAACTTTTACCCATGATACAAATGATAGAAAATATATAAAAATGATCCTAAAAATTCTTAAGTTGAAGCTCAACCTAGGTAAAAAGATACTAAAAGGATAACTCATTTAGAGAGTTATCAGAGTCCTTCAAGAACCCTAGGAATCTTTGGCCCTCTTAGCTGGTGCCTGGGTGGGTCTTGAAGACTCTATCATCCTTTGAATATGCCTTTCTATAACAAAAAATGCTCTAAACCTCATGCCCAAAACCTCTCAATCACCTTCGCTTATCGGGTTAGTTCAACGAAGATCTTATGAGGGTCTACTGCTAGATGGGTGAGAATATCGATATGAAAGCCCTCCCTAAACCTCTAGTATTTGTGGTACTCAAACGCCACCAACTTCGATGCATACTGACTCAACCAGAGAAATTCCCTCTTGTACTCAAACATTGATCGATCCCTCTGATTCAAATGTAGAAATTGGTCTCTCAAATCGTCGATGAGAGCCTCTCAAATGTACTTCTAGCAAAATTCTGACAAAAGTGCTCTCACGTCGGCCTCTCGGGCTCCATGGTAATCTCGATATTCTCCCACTAGTCTATGGCATCACCCTTCAATAGGGTGATGACGCATACCAGATTACCCTTAAGGGTCAGATGAAACTGTTGGAGTGTGTGGATGGTCTTTCTAATCCACTGATTTGTAGTGATATGGTCATCATCCCTGGAACCAATAAATTTTGTGTTCTCAAATCTATAGAGTCTCTCTATTGAAAACTCATGGGGTACTACTATCGGATGGGTTGACGATGCAGACGGGGTAAGTTATACAACTTGTGTTCTAGGGATAACTATCACTATATGTCTTAAGGCTACCATTAGATCCCTAAAAAAGGTTTCCTCATCGACCCTAACATCTCCTAAAATCTCGAACTCTACGTCTAATATGAACTCGTTGTCAATGTCAGCTACAAAAGAGGTATGACTCTTCTCCCTACCCTCATGGCTAAGAGCTCTACTACCGTCCATAATTTTTCTCTAAAATTTATAAGAAAATAAAGTCATTATCGCTATTCTATACAAAGTACTCTTGACACTCTAGGGGCATGCACATATAAATGTAACTTCCTAATCCAATACGACCCAGAGACTGATGGACTATTATGTTATACAAGATCACTGAGGTAGCTAGACCAAAAATTTTCTTTTTAAAAATATAATAAAACATCAGTTAAAAGTCCACCAAAAAATCATAAGATAAAAGAAATATAACATTTCAAGTTTACAATGACCGATTGCTCCTAAAAATACATTCAAATTGTTTCACATGAGTATTTCAAAATACAGTTACGACTCGAACACAAGAAGATATATAAACAATACACGTCCTCTAAGAAAGACTCAAGACATACTCTAAAGTCGGATTGGTATGAAACATAAAATGCATGATAAGATCCTCAAACGCTTCTCCTAAGAACCTGTGCACAGAAACAAATTTCGAACGTTGAGCTCACACATTAGTGTTACACTAATAACTAAACTATACTACACGCGTCCACTATATGATCATGCTAGCAAGTAGGAATGTTAGCATACATGGATGCTAAGTTAAACACACATACATAGGTAGGTATCATGGTGTGGACAAAGCATTTTGCTACATCTCGAGACACACACCCTCTAGCCTACTTAAGGTGAGATCTAAAATTTCTAAATCGAAAGCATTCACTCAACCAACCTGCTCCTTGTGAGTACTTGGGGTATCTACGCCCGACCAGAAGTGCCTTGTGCACTAATTGAGACATGCTCGGACATTCTGATGCACAGAATGATCATCCTACTACTAGAACAACTAAGGTGCCATGATCGTTTCTAGAGCGTCATACAAAAACTAGTTTTATGACTTCATACTTTATATTGTTTTTAACTGTAATTATAATTATAATTGTTGTTCTCGCTTGTAGCTTATTAATAAAGTTTTGATGGCCTCTAATCCCCTGATCAAAATACTTGAGATGAGAAGGGTTTCTTACTCAATTTAAGATGAGGGTAACGATACTAGGCCTCTCAGTATCGATACCAATCTCTGAGTATCGGTATCAACGTGAGGTACCAATACCAAAATAGACTATTGTAATTCATTGAGTTCTAGTAGTATTGATACCCTTAATTGGAGTATCAATACAAGAAAACTAGGGTATCAATACTACCCTTAGTATAGATACTAAATGTGGTTTTGTTGTTTGAAAAATTAGCAAGTATCGATGCCCCACCATGGTATCGATACTCCATTGGGTATTGGTACCAAAATTGGATATTGGAATTAAAAATCTAAAAGTGATATCGATACTCCCCTTTGAGTATTGATACCCTAGGAGTATTATTGATACCATATGAATCGGTATTAATACTCTCGGCCAGAATACCTTACTATTTGTAACTACACGAAGAACAATATCGGTATTGTTCATCCTATAATGATACCCAAGCTTAGAAATGCCCTGTTGATAGGGGTCATAAGGAGTCATTTTTCATGCTTTATAACACCATCAACTAGAATCTATCATGAACATACTTATATGCTTCATAAACTAATGCAAGTTAAGCAACGAAACTTAGTGATTCACAAGGGTGCTTGGGTTTAGAACCTTCTCCAATCTTTTTCACTAATTATAACAAGAGCAAATGGGCTATTTACTCGATTAAGAGACCAAATTAAAGCTAATAACACTTTCCTAAACTCGAATTTACCACAAAAAAATAAGCTAGAAATCTCTAGTTTCCTAAACCCCCACTAAACCTCCACTATGGCCATTATGACCAAACCTTGTGCTTGAGAGCTTGAATGAAAGTTTGGGGTAAAGAGATTAAGATTCTTACCTTGGGAATTTCATACTAAGCTTGCTTGGTCACCAAGTTTTCACCTTTGCAACCTCACTTAGAGAAGGAAAATATGGAAATGGAGAGAATATAGGTAGGGGACAAGGAATGGTAAAAAGAGAAAAATGGGGAGTGGTTCAGTCAAATTACATCACTCTCATTAAAGAAAATCAGTCTTTGGTTGAAAATGATATAATAGCCCTTTTAGTCTTTCCTCTTCCACTCTAATATTAAAAATGCATCTTTTATGCTACTATTTGGGCCTAACACAAGCCAAAACCTATCCTCAATTGGTCCAAGCTTTCCTATAAGTCTAGTGGGCTTATTCAAATCTTCTCGGGTTAGCTCGAAA